CTCTCCGTTTAGAACCGATTTCTGTCCTCTTTGTTTTCGTCATGGTTTTCGTATTAAATTGAATGTACCGGTTACCCAAATTTTCCTCTTTTCATCACTTGTCACCATCGGCGGTGCGTCTTTCGAGCCGAATTTCACTCCCTTTCCTCTAAACCTGTCCAGTAATCCCTTGCTGGTTGTCTTAACAGGCACGATTTTGACGCCTTTCGAAAGAAGAATGAGCAGAATTGCATCCCTCATCACTGCCTATGTTACTGAATAATTGTCAGTCCGATCCGACACATTGCAAAACACCAACAGTGATATGAAACTAGTGCCGCCTTGCATCGTTTTTGCCCTGGTTTTTTTTCAAATTTTCAAATTTACACAACTTAATCGACCGAAACACTTCTTGCCATTACAATAATCTCACAGGTTTCCTAATTTTCATTTCTCATCTTCCTTTTCCTTTTTTTTTTCTCTTTTTTCCCTATTATAACTTCCTATTTTATGTTGTGGCTATGGCAATCATCTCATATTTTTGCCGTGCTTGTAAATTGGTCCCGTTCACGTTGGCATCTCGCATCGTTTTTGTTCCTTATGTGAGAAATAAATAATTGGCCAACACGTGGGCTGCCCGTGCGAAGATGCGTTTTTTGCATAGTTCCCCGCAGTTTTTGTCACTACCGCTACCGGTTTTTCCGGTAAATGCTTTTAGCTAAACAAATTAAGATAGGCCGCCAGAACTGTCAGGAAACACCCCCTCAAAATTTCAGCTTTCTAACTTCCCTGGCTCCTGAGTTAACAGCTTACTCGAAAAAAACTTTCACAGGCTCATACGTGGGTGCCATGCGTGCCCGATGCCTGGGTTTGAGCTCGTTGAGACTTACGTGAACGGGGAACATCCCTTAGAATTGCAGTTTTCTAGCTTTTCAGATTCTCGAGTTAGCGACTTACTCGCGAAAACTTTCACGGACCTGTAAGTGGGTATCACGCGGGTAAGAGCGTCCATTCCGGAGATAGGGGCCCATACTCGCATGTAGATTAAGTTCCCCAGGTTTCAGCCCCGTAGCTTTTGTGGGTCTCGAGATGAAAAATCGGTACAGACGCGCAACGCACACATAGATAGCCTCTCGTCAGTATGCGTCTTCTGCATTGCATAGCTGCAAAAAACGCGTAAAAACGGCTGGTTGTACTGGAATTACTCACGGGGTTTACTCATTTTGTCTGTGAACAGCGCTGGGAAGCGTCAGTTATACACGACTATGAATTATTATGTGGCCTGATCCGCTAGATGACGAATCAGGGTGAAGTCTGGATATTTGAAATTACATAAGTGGAGAAAGCAGGGTAGGAGCAGCAGGCTTATGAACTTTTTCAGCCGCATACGCTGATCTCATCTTCAGCATTATTGGACTTGTTGTTGTTGTAGCACGCGAAGAAGATGTTTGCAATGAACGATCCTGTTATCCGGCCACCGGGAACCTCTTGATTGGCCGGAAGGATAGGCTTAGTGCAACATCGACGTGCGGTCTCCGAGGTCGTCAGCGCTACTGCATCGTTTCTCATCTGGAAGAGCAAACTAAATGTTTCTACTGCGATAGCAGAACAGAATGGCGGCCACATCGAGAGCCTTACAAGCTCAGCCACAGGTATGTGTGTGTACGTGTACGCGTGCGTGTGTGTGTGTGTGTGAGCGTGTGTGTTCACTGTTCGTTGTTACTGAACGCATGCTAGGAAGCTGAAACGAGGCTGCACAGTTCAACATCACCAGCTCAGCTGATGGCTCTTCCCTTGGAACGTGAAAGAAACGACTAACAAAAACATATGCAGCACGAATACACATACCAAACTTTGAAGCATTGAACGCTGTTATTGGCAACTTTTTTACTGCCACATGAAATTTTACGCGAAATGCATGATCACCTCCCAACACTGTTGGTCTAGTTCTATCTCTCTTTTATATAGAGTGACTTTTTTTGCAGCAGTGCTATTTCAGAATTGAGAATGTTGTGTCGGAATCGTACGAGGAC